TATACATATGTATTAATACATACATACATTTATATTCATAGAGGTCCAGGATTCATTATCTAAAACTTAAAAATAATGCATGCTTAAGAGTGTGTGTGTGTGTGTGTGTATATATATATAAAATTTTTTTTATATAAAAGTTTTGATGATGAATCCTGGACCTCTATGAATCCATTTAGTATCCTATCTAAAACCATCAAATTATTGTAGCAAGTATTATCCATGTTAGTATATAGCTATGTATAGTATTTAGCATATGTGAGATTTAGTCTGCTAACCAAAGAAATTTAAAACACATAATTATGATTTCATGATTTAGGAGAAATTGGTGTTATACATTTTTATATATTGCAATCTAAACTTTTAACAGCTTAAAAACTATTGATAGATTAAATAGCATTCAAACAAATTTCTTACCAATAAGAATATGTTTTTAATTCTGATTCTGAAGAACTTCATTGAAATTTATCCTGTTTGGATTTAAATTGTATCTAAATAATTTATGTATGATTACTAATTTCTCTGATCAGATCTAGACAAAATGTAATTACTTTCACTTTGTTTATTTCCCCAAATACCTTTCGCACCCACTACATATTTAACCAATTGCTGACTCCATTACTCTTTAAGCTTTAATGTCTCAAAATACATAATAAAATTAATTTATTTTGTAAATTCCAAGTGCTGAACTTATTGTGCATAACCTCTTTTTTATTTCAGGCAAATGCAATAGTAGTTATTTAAATTAATACACTCTCCAAAACAAACAATAAAATATTTGAGCTCATCTCGTAGTGTTGGAGATGGAATATCATGTAAATTGATTGAGCTGTGTATTAGATTGTTATCATTTCTGAATTTCAATATATATAAATAATGCATCACATACCATAAATTTGACCATGTTTTATTCATAGATGTCTTAGTGTCCTTGTTGAAGTATCCTTTGATTAACCATAGGATGTTAACATATACGGCATATATTAAGACATGTCATTTTCAGCAAATTACTTATAATACTATTGTAACTGCAGATTATCTTGTTCTATAGATAGAATCAATAAATTAATGTTGAACAAGTATTTAGTATTTTTATTGTATATGTGTGCAAGTGTGTAATTTTTCTGAATATGAATTAATATATTTTCATTCTTGGGTAAAATTTTGAAAATGGTATCTTACAAGGGAAAAAATGGCCTGCATGTTCTATCCTATACTATATTTGATGGACTCTTCTTTGTATTAATAGTATAATGGCTCTAAAATTATACAGGATATAAGTAGCTCAAAAATGAGGCAAATAATTAGTACTAGTGTTTTCTATTCCATATTTTTTTTACAAAAATATTGCTATACTTTCATAATCTATGTCTAAGAAAAAGGCCAAAAGTGAAAGCACCAAACCAGGACATTTACAACACTTGCTAAATGATGCCAAGTGTTGTCACTCATTGTAGAAGTGAAAACCAGAAAGATGAGTGTTTGAACTTATGAAGATAGCTCAAAGTCTTTTGCTAATTTCTGCTCCGACAAGGGTTACAATCAGGCAACTAAAAATAAATGATATTGAGATGGAAGCGCTAGAGAAATCTCTCCATTATATTCATATTAAATAAAAAATCCTCTCTGTAATATAGCTTATATATTTATATGGAATTTAATTTTATAGATAAGGAAAATATTTCAAAGTTTTCTCATCAAGTGGGGATAATAATAGTCAACTCATAATTTGTTGTGATATTTCACCACTGAGTAGGAGCTTTCTAGTGGGCCCTTCTAACCTTTCACCCATTCTCTGAGAGTCACAAATTAAGTGAAAATGGAGAGAGTTCAGAAGAAACAGGGAAAACATCAATCTTGGGTCAGACTCTTGCTGCTTTCAAAGTAGTAAGAAATGTGAGAAAAGATTTGTGTTTTTTTTTTTAAATAAAAAAATTTATTGAAGGAAGTAGGTTATGGTGTTGAAAATTTATCCTTCGGTAAATAACAATTGTTTATTTATATTGAAGGCAAAAAAAGATTTTTATGAACAGAAGTAACAAAAATTATTTAATTTTATGTTAACTAGTTGATCCTGTAAAATATGCCCTATGTTTATAATGTTATGAACAAATTCATTTAGTAAATATTTATTGACCTTCTAAATTGTGCCAGGGTTTCAACAGTAAACTAGGCAGAGTTCTTCCCTTCAAGGACTGATTGTCTAGTGGGAGAATAACACCAATAAAATCAGAGCAGATGGAAAGTTTAAGTAGAAAACAGAAGTTTCATACAATTTTCTTGGCCTTTCTGAGAATTTCAACTGATTCTAACTAATCTTACATCATTGAATTTTAAGCGATTCCAATTGATCTTCTGGTGTTGAATATTTAGCTTATTTCAACTTTTAGTATTTCGCAATAATCCTGAAATAATGGGATGCTCATGAAAGAACAGAATGAAGAAGTCTTCAAAATTATTAAAAAAATTAAAATGTTTGTTTCAAAACACATAGGATGAAATAAAAATAGTAGCAGTTAAAAATATGTAACAGTGAAGTGGGACAGATTTTTTTTTTTGACAGTTCATTTTTTTGATCCAATTGTCGTATTGGCCAAGGTGCTTTCCACCAAATTGTTTTCACCCAATTTGTTTTTAGCTACATATGAAGTCAAGAGAGGAGGTTAAGAGAGGATGCTGAAAAGATGAGAAAGGAACCAGGCTATGTGTAAATAATGATTTTTCTATGTGGAAATTTTAAAAAGTCTAGAGAAGTTATTTTAAAGTGGATTAACAATTATTAAAACTATCCATCTTTTTTAATTCTTTGAATATGAAACTATAAAAATATGTTTAATGCATTTTCACACTTGTAAGAAATAAGGATATTGTTTGGTTGATACAAGACTGCTAATAGTGCCTCAAAATATATAGACTCACTCCAAAAAAATTCAGGTTTTTTTAAATTACCTATCCTTGGTGATATGGAATAGGAAAAAAAAAACCCGAATAGTTTTTTTGGTTTGGCTAAACTAAAACCAAAACCAAACAAAATCCTGTTATTTGTATTCCTGCTCTTAAGAGTTAAAGGACAAAGCTAAAAGATTACTTTTCTTATTAGAATAAGATTCCATTGGATCTTATTCTAACTCACTGTGCAATGGAAAATAAGCTAATATGTTAAAATCTGTGGTAAATTTTGAAATATCAGGCTTTTTACATGGAGTTTTAAATGACTAGTATTATTGTTCTTATATTTGATAGCCATGAAAGATATTGGCCTTTGCATTTATTAAATACATAAATTTTGAGATCCTAATGAGCAAATGATTTTGCTAACAGACAAAAAATGTATTATTTTCTACTTAAGATATGCATAAAAGTTAAAATTACACATGCTTTCTTAATTTAGAAAGTGTTTTCATTTACCTCCAATCTGCCTAAGCTACTTAACAAAGCTTACCATGAACTAAGAAGGTATTATAAAAATTAGTAAACAAGAAGTATATGTGTATATGTACATTCATTTATAATGTTGAAATCAGTTCTACTTCATGATCATGGTAAATCGCACACCAGGCTTAGCCCATTTTCTCCAGTGATTAATGCAGCACCACTGAGATTTCAGAAGGTTGTTTTCTTAATTTGACTGGCCGGGAAGCATTTTCTCTGTTGAAAAACAGGTGTAAACATCAATACTCAAGATAGAGAGTGATCTCACGCTGTTTTCTGGTGTCTCCAGTGTAGAGGATCAGCAGGTAGAAGCTACAGATTGAGGAGGGCTATTTATCAGAAGTGAAGAACTAGAAAATGTTTGGTGTGACTCAAAGGCTTTAACTGAGAGAATAACAGGAAACTTTTTAATAGCAAAATAATTTGTCAAACACTTTGAATATATAAGGACTGTGTGACACAAACATGTGAAATCAAACCCCAGCACAGTAATTACAGGTAATTTGGGAACTGTTTCCAATTTCCTCACTGTGTAAATTAGATGCCTATCCACTTTAGCCAAGATTTGACTCTCTGAGAATCTTACTGAGGTTCTCATAGCTTGACACTGGCTATATTATTTCAATATTCTCTGTGCTACTCGCCATATTTTCAGCTAGTTATGAATGAGAAGAAGGAAAATTTGGACATTAAACACTAAGCTATTCTTTCTGTTCGTTATTTTCTCTGTATTTGAATCTACTATTAACTTTTGGCAACTTGACTAATCATATTGGAGATTAAATGTTATGGTTCAAGTGCATGTTCATTCAGTAATGTCTCCTAGGTATGACATATTAAGACAAATCATAAACCTTTCAGAACATTGGGTTCCATGCTAGTTGACTCAATACTTGTTAAAGACTCCTAGGTACTGCAAAATTGTTAGAAGGCGTTACCAGCTAATCAGGGTAAGAATTGCAAAACTCTAAACTGTACATTAACATCATTTGTGAGAACAGGATAAGCAAAATAACAATAATAACAACAATTGGCTTCTTTTGTTTGTTTCTAAAGATTGCTCTCATCCTATTTCCTATCAGTAAGTTTTTCTAAAGAAAAAAGTCAAAAAGCATTTAACATGCATATATCCATCCATCGTTAACATTTTGTTAATCTTATATGGTGGTATTTGTGTTTATTTCTGTATATGTCATTTCTTTGTTTACTTCTTTGACAAAGCATGTCATTTTTTGTTTTATCTATATGTATTTTGCTACTGCATGTCAAACTTTTAAATGATTCAGTGAACAAATGAATTCTTGTCATTTTAAATTTCACTGTAAGTATTGTAGACCACCTGCTTATTCTCAAACATTGCTCCAAGTTTTTGTTTTGTGTTGGAGCATGAAAAATAAGTGAAAAAAAATGACAGGAACTGTATGGTACAGTCAGTTTTGTACCTGATATTCTATTAAAGCCTGTTAAAGTTAAACCTAAATAAGTATTTATAATTTGAATCATCTGTGTTTCTCTTTTGTTTGCATGATATGATTTTGTTTTATATTTTGTTTTTTTCCACTCACCAGATGTTCCCAACACTTTGCTTCCCACTACTATCATCCCCTCCCTTACCACTGCAACAGTCACAACCACTGTAGCCATAACAACCAGCCCAACCACATCTGCAACAACCAGCAGCATCAGAGGTACAGTATGATTCTTTGTTATGGCCTGGAAAGCACATTAAAAGGAGCTTTATAGAAGTTTTTTACAAGGGTAGAAAACTGAGATTAAGTTTTATCTAATTATAAGAAGTAATCATCACCTGAAATACTGTCAGTTAGGGTTGTCAGAATAGAATATGAAATAAGATTGTACATTTTAATTTTTTTACTGTCACTTATGACTATTTCAAAAATATTCCAGAATGTAGATTAAAAATATATGGTGCTGAACAGCATTGAACAAATTTAAAATGTGAATACGCGACACAATTTTTGACTTGTCTTGAAATGCATACAAAGAAATAAGATGTTCAAGGATGCAGAGGTAGCTTTTGCTTTTTTAAGATCCTAGTTTAAAGTTAATGACTCGCTATTCCTCTGTTACTAGCTTAAAATACCATGTTGAATTTGTCCTAAAATTGGCAAAGTTCATGAAGTCATTATAAACTATGCTTTACATAGAACTTTCAAGTAAATATTCAACATATATATCATCCTAAAGTGATTTACTAAGTGAGTCTATTTATTTTATGAATAGAATATTCTAAAAGTAAATGTTGTAGAATCAGCCAGCATTTGAATTGATATTTGGCTCCATAAATAATTTCTGATATCAATAGACAAATAAACACTTTCAAGGAAAACAGCCCTTGAAAGAATTGAGGTATCTTTACAGGCAAAAGAAATAATTATGTTATGGTTGAGAAATATAAAAAGCATTTCTGAGCAGTCATTATGTAGCTAGTAGTTGATGAAGAAATAAAAACAAGTTTTGAAGGCATTATAGAAAAAGATGCTTTAAATTTAATTTCTACATAAGCAGTGTTCAGAGAGAATTTTGTCGTATTTAAGTCTGTCTGTTTCCTACTTATATGTGTTTTTTGTCACTTTGGCTATTACTAATATGTGTTAAACTTAACAATTAACTTGAAATTCATGGGGACTCTACATTATTATATACAATTAAGTTGTATAAAGGATACGGTTAGCATTGTTTTTCTTCACTTGTAAAAGTTATTCAATTAGACTTTCTTTCTTAAGATTTTTATTAATTTTTGATATTAGATTGAGTTGCTAGCTTTGACTTGACTGTTGTAATAATCTTTCTTTTTCTTGTTCCAGAAAAAAGTCTAATGTTTGATAATTGTCAATTTTTAATAATCATGTCAACTGTATTATAAAATGTATAATATTGATAACTAAATACATTTGATAGTAGCAGTTATAAGATTTCCCAGAAAGACCTAGATTTATTTTTGTATGACTGAACAAACTTTATTTGAGCTACATCTACAAATGAGAAACGTTTGAAGATATTTGTCATAAAAATTTATATAAAAATAGAAGAGACATAATAAAAATGAAGAATAAATTAAAAAAATCTTTATGATATTATATGAAATAAAAGGTGTCTAAAGTTCTCCTTTAATTTGTTATATTTTGCAAGGATTTTTACAAACAGTAATTCAATTTAACAATTATTACATACTAACAAAATTTCTATGAGAATGTTAAGTTCTGAATGTATAAACAAATCACTTTGACAAAAAAAAAGGTGTATTGACTTATTTTTTGAGACCCATTTGTAACACAAAAGACTAATAATAAATTATTCTGTCCTTCTTTAACAAATATTTATTGCGTACATGACATATATATATATAAATATGGCAATATGCCAGGCCCTGAAATTATGACAATTATTTGTATCTAAAATCACCAGCAATCAAATTAATACATTTACCCCCAAAAATACATGCTTGTGCTTAATCTTTAGTGAAAGGTATTAATGTTTTTGTGGGAAAACCTTGCATCTGTCTTTTGGTTCTCTGAAAATAAATATATGTTTGTGTGTATATATATATATATATAGATATTAGTATTCTGCTTCAGTGGACATATATATGTGTGCGTAGGTATCACGCACACCATGCGCGCACACACACACACACACACACACACACACACAAACACTATTAGGGACTAAAATAAGAGAAAAATATTTTATTTTATTTTATTTCAAAGTAAGTTAACATTTTATATTATTTCACATTGATCTTAAGTGGAATTTGAACTATGACATTTTAATTAGCCTATTAAAATGAAATCAGTTGTTTTGTTTTTCAGGTAAATTTACATTTTTTTTTTCAGTTTTCCTAGGATGTTTTTCTTAACTTTACACCATAGACACTTAAAGTGATTAAAAAGAATTAATCTTTTCCTCAAACACAGAAATAAACGACTTCAAGTAAGACACATGCACACAGAGTACATGTAAACCATCCCTCTTTTTTAACTTAAAGGTTGAAAGGTAAATTTTTAGATGGCACAAAAATATGTAGAAATAAATTATTTTGTAAGCTTGACAATTCATATTACATATTTTATAAGGAAAAATACTAGCACTAATATTGAATGTTAGCATAATGCCCATTTTTCCTTCTATCTTCAACAAACATCTGGGGATTGGGGAAGTTACCAAGCTCACCTGCATCATTAATATTCTAATTTATTTTTGACAGGGTGGAGGATTTATTCACTACAAAAACGATGCTGAAAATTTTACACTCTATTCCTTTCAAGTTATGCAATAGTCCTTTCTTTGTGTATTATCTATGAAATTATAGATTTTAGATGAAATTATATTTGAACAGAATTCATTTATTTATAAATTTGTGGAAGATGCCTAAAATTATGTGTAAGAGGGGATCATAATAAGAATATATTGCCTAAAAAAGCTGAGAACTAAAGGGAAGAAATATTTTCAGCCTGCAATTTTTTTAGTTGATTTACTTCATCCCTTTCTCTTATTCAATAATATGAAGTAAACTCAATATATTTGCTTTTATTAAGTTTAAATTGCATGTCTTCAGATTTCATAAACTATAGCACTTATGTTCATATATTTAACAAATGGTCACAAATGAATCACTGTTGATATCTACATTTACACTTTTACAACTCCTATTATTGCTGAATTTTCCATCCTATGATATGATAAGTATCCAATTTAAAATAAATTTAGAGAATCAGTTACATCTATATTAAAAATCACGATGAATTGGAGCAAAAGAAACTGTTTTAAAATCATTAAAGTCATAACCTTGAGAATTCCCACATCTCTTCAGTTTGTGTCTAAAATGTATCCCTGTTGGGAGGAAGAGGAACTTCAACCACATGAAGTAAAAACAAGCAATTAGCAATGTCCTATTACAAAGGTGTTAAAATACAAAGAAGGGAACCAGCTTGAGCAGTCTTGGGAAAGACAAAGAATAAATGAGCCCCAGAGAAATCTTTGGGTATGAGTTTTTGTTCTTTTGTTTACAAGATCTTTGGTATTGAACAGTGAACCAAATTAAGTCTCAGTGTTTTTTCATCAGAAGAATGAGAAGCACTTAATTCTCAGGGTCTTGAGGATTAGATAACATATAGAGTTATGAAAACATAATCAGTACTCAATATATGACAGAATTACTCTTCAGTTCTTAGTAAAACAAACATGTTTACATATAGTAGCATAACACAATTAATGAAATGGGAGGCTTTTTCCTTATAAGTAATTATAGTTTTGCCTGCATCATTAATATTGTGAGTAATTATAGTTTTAATTCTAGCAAAATTTTTTGGTGTTAATTCACTGATTATTTTTTAATTTCAAATTTATTTTGATTGAAAACATAATCAGTACTCAATATATGACAGAA